AGTCACCTAATTTATAGCAACTCTACAGCCAGTAATTTACTTTAAAATAGAAAAAAATGTATAAATGTATTTTTATAATTTATCTAAGCTTCTTTCGAAAAATTAAAGACCGCCGTACAATACAAACTTTGATTTTTGATATTTACTATACGTATATTACTATTAAATCCAGCAACAAATGGAATATATATTAATGTCAAATTTGATATTCCATTCAACTGATACATATAATAATTGTAAACGTGTTAATTAGGCAATTGTGTTGTTAAGTAATGTTCAATATGGAAAGCGTTAGAGTGGAATATGATGCCCTTGGTGAAATAGAAGTTCCAAATGGCAAATTGTATGGAGCTCAAACAGCACGTTGTCTGAAGAATTTTCCTATAGGGGACGAATTTGAAAGAATGCCCTTTAGTGTTATTGTAGCTATGGGTGTATTGAAAAAGGCTGCAGCAGAGGTGAACGTAGATTTTGGTCTGGATCTGAAAATCGCATCTGCCATTTCAAAAGCTGCTGACGATGTTATTTCTGGAAACCTTTATTGTGAACATTTCCCTCTTGGAATTTGGCAAACTGGCTCCGGCACTCAAACGAATATGAACGTAAACGAAGTGATAGGTAATCGTGCAATTGAAATATTGGGTGGAAAGTTAGGCTCGAAGAACCCTGTTCACCCCAATGATCATGTTAATAAAGGTCAAAGCAGTAATGATACATTTCCAACCGCTATGCACATTGCAGTTGCTCACGAGTTGAATCATAGTCTTCTACCGAACTTAAAAAAATTAAAAAACAGCTTACAGGAGAAAAGCCAAAAGTTTATGTCTGTTATAAAGGTTGGACGTACTCATACTCAGGATGCTGTTCCTTTGACCTTGGGACAAGAGCTGAGTGGATACGTTAAGCAATTGGAGTATGGAATAAATCGAATACAAAATACTTTGCCTCGTTTATACGAGCTCGCAATTGGTGGAACCGCTGTTGGAACCGGCCTTAACACGTATGTATCTTTTGATGAAAAATGCACAAAAAAAATTGCTGAATTAACAGGACTTCCTTTTGTAATCGCCCCTAATAAATTTGAAGCGCTAGCTGCAAGTGACACTATGATCGAAGTCTCTGGAGCTTTAAATGTCATTGCAGCTTCTTTAATGAAAATAGCCAATGACATTAGATTTTTAGCTTCTGGTCCCCGATGTGGAATAGGAGAGCTAATACTTCCAGAAAACGAGCCAGGAAGTTCTATAATGCCCGGCAAAGTTAATCCGACCCAATGTGAAGCGCTCACAATGATCGCAGCTCAAGTAATGGGTAACAACGTTGCTGTTACAATAGGCGGATCGAATGGTCATTTTGAATTAAACGTTTTTAGACCCTTGATGGTTTCAAATGTTTTACGGTCTATTAAACTGCTCTCTGATGGTTGCTATTGTTTTGCTCTGAATTGCGTAAATGGAATGGAAACTGATAAAGAACGTGTGGCGTTTCTGCTTAGTCAAAGTTTAATGTTGGTTACTGCTTTAAGTCCTCATATCGGTTATGACAAAGCAGCTCAAATTGCTCTAAGGGCTCACCGTGAGAAAACAACTTTAAAGGAATCCGCAAAAGCTTCCGGAATTGCCGAGTCGGATTTTAATAACTGGGTTAAAGCCGAAGATATGTTGGGGCCAACTGTATATAAAAAGAAATCGACCTGTTAGTTGTTAGTTTAAAGTAATTAAGAATGTATAAGCAGTTTTATTATAATGACTTGTAAAGTATTAAAAAAGTTTTAAAAACCTCGGAGGATGTTACTTATCTACTGCAGGTAAATGATAATTTAGCCACTATTAATTATGACAGGTGTCAGTTTAAAAATACAAATCATTGCGATCTAACCTATTTCATGCTCCAAGCATTTGGGAAGAATCATTCTATAAGCAAGATTTGTATTTGTTGCCTAAAAGAAAATGGCTAGGGGCAGTAGTGCTGGTTTTGATCGTCATATTACAATTTTTTCACCAGAAGGTCGACTGTACCAAGTGGAATATGCTTTTAAAGCCATTAATCAAGCTGGTTTAACTTCTGTTGCCGTCAAAGGGATTGATACAGCGGTTTGTGTAACTCAAAGAAAGATACCTGATAAGCTGATAGATGGTAATACTATTACTCATTTGTTCCAAATTACCGAATCTGCAGGATGTGTAATGACGGGGATGATAGCAGACAGCAAGTCCCAAGTACAAAGGGCCCGTTATGAAGCTGCCCAATATAAGTACAAATTTGGATATGAAATGCCAGTAGACACATTATGCAGAAGAATAGCTGATATTTCTCAAGTATACACTCAGAATGCTGAAATGCGTCCATTGGGATGCTCTATGATTTTAATTGGATATGATTCTGAGAAAGGCCCTTGTGTGTATAAAACTGACCCAGCTGGATACTATTGTGGCTATAGAGGTGTCAGTGTAGGAGCAAAGCAAACTGAGGCCAATAGTTATTTGGAAAAAAAATTAAAAAAAAAGCAGGAACTTAAACAGGATGATGCCATTCAACTAGCAATAAGCTGTCTATCAACAGTTTTGTCTGTTGATTTCAAACCTAGTGAGCTTGAAGTGGGGGTAGTTACTAAGGATCAACCCAAATTCAGGAAATTGACAGAAACTGAAATTGATAAGCATCTTACAGCAATTGCAGAAAAAGATTAAAATTTTCTTAACATATATTTTGTCTAATTTAATTGGATTATCATGTATTGTGTTTGGGATCCATTTATTTGCATCATATAAAATATAATAAATACAAGTATTTTAAAAAATCTCATTTTGTATTATACAGTAAAACAAAATGTGAAACTCTTATTTAAAAAAAGAGTAGCTGTTCTGTAACTGTGTTTTTTATATGAAATAAAGATTGTCTAATACTTTATTAACAATAATTTATTTATTTATTTAATAGAATGTCAAGTTTCAAGTTAATGTTAGGTGTACTAAAACACCCTGTATAACAAACATTGTTAATTTAAATGTGTACATAACCACAACTCTAGGAAACTAAAAATGTTAATGTTATTAGTGTAATACTTCATTATTTTTTCAGTTACTACCAAATGAAATGGATATCCAGAAAAGCTTATTACACAATCCACAATTTCAGTTTGGAGCAATTACATTTTTTGCTAAGCAACACAAAGGAGATACCTGTGGGAGTAACGGATTACCTCTAACTCCAAATTCAATAACAGTCTATGGCAGAGCTCAACTGCTAAAAACTATAGAAAATCCATACCTTTGCCAGTACATTGACATTATAAGAGGCAAACATGGTATAATGTAACAGTATTTAAAGTGATCCCTCTTATTAAATGATTGTTTTTTGTTAGAGAGAACAGTTGTAGTGTCTCAGTACTGTGGAAAACCATTAACTGCATGTTTAAATACTGATAATTTAAATGTGGATAATATAAAAAAGATTGCCTACCAAATTTTGAAAGGACTTGAGGAATTACAAAAGAGAAACATCGTTAATCGAAATTTAAGCACAGAAAATGTCCTGTTAATGGAAGACAATAATATTAAAGTTTTTAACTATGGACTTTATTACATGANAATACAAAAATTATTCCAAATAGTTAGTGTGATCAATAAATACTATAAAAAAATATTATTTCCTTTTCCGTTCAATTAATTTAAGTTATATCTAGTTCATTTATCGAAGTTATAAAATTAAAATTGCTGCCTTAGAATAACTAACTTTACCTAACAGAGAGCGATAATTGTTTTCGAAGCAGTAACTGTAATGATTTGACTATTGGATGGTAGGTGTCGCGAGAGTGCAGAAATTTAGTCTTTATTGTTTTGATCTGAGAGGAAAGAGGAGGCACAAAACTGGATTTGTAAGCGTTCACCATGCGCGTTCTCAGGTGCGCCGTAGTAGTTGCGTTGTCTAGATTCTTTGTACCATTCCTAGCATACCAATAACATAAACTGTTCGTGTTAACGGTCTAAATTTCGCTTTAATTATCGTCAAAGTGTGTGGTAAGGTGTAGATCTGCAACAGTGGTAAGTACTTGATGATTTTATATCAGTTTTCATACAGTTTATACGTTGTTTTGGGCATAAAGTCCGTTATAACTTGGGCAATGTGTCCATAATTCCTATAATACTTTACATACTTGTCATGCTTGCTGTTACGAAGTTCCGACGAGTGGCGACGGCGCGAATCGGTGCACGTTAAATTTTCAAACAAAAACAATAACATAAGAGATTGGTTTCCACGATATTTTTTTGGCTCGAGTTTTTCAAGGTATCGATCAAGCTCTATGAAGTGATTCGTAATTAACCGGACATCGAAATGGACTGCAGTAAAGCGGAAAGTTCGTACCTGATTCGACGGCACGGTGTCTTTAGTGTGTGCGTGTATCTGCTGCAGTACAGTTTGTTATTCGTATTTTGTTTTGGGTGCAAATTATTCGCTAAAAAAAGCTTGTGGTTTGTGTTGTTATTGTTCGTTACCGTCGGATTAATTTCAACTACATAATACAAATATTGGCTATTGTTGAAAAACGACCGATACAATCAAACATGACATGTATGTTATAGGTATGTTTTATAATGGTAATTGTTAATTTGTAATTTTTACTTTACACACAAAAATATCTATAAATCTGCTACTTCTAAATTTTAAATTTATTCCAACATCTGATACCCTAATTAATGTACCTGGAATAACATAACGATTTCCACGAGAATTATCGATACAGTTTTTGCTAATGTGGGATTAATTTGGTTACGCATTGTTTAGAAAAGGTTATCTGCTCATTTAAATAGAAATTTACTTAAGATTTATTTATGATATTTATTTAAAATAATGATCCCAATTATTTGTCGGTATCAATGGGTTATAAAACAAGTACCTACTAAAAGGCTTTCGTTTTTTAATAAGTTGCTACCTACATGGGTATTACCTACTTTTCTAGTTTGAATTTGTGAGTTAGGTATATAAGGTGGAGAATAATGTTGTCAGATTTGTTTATAAATTGTATTAGCTTTTAGTTTTACATTTTATCTACTGTATTCAGACAGGGCCGGATTAACTTAGTTTGGGGCCCTTTCGCCTCTCCCACAAGAAATAGATCACACAAAAAAAAAAATATATTTACAGATCTTTAAAAAAGCAAGCCCTTCACATTTGTTCCGATCCGACCCTGTCTTTAGATCCGTAACAGTAATTGTATCTCAAGGTGGATATATCGGTTTACAATTTAATCTTTGACCCTTATCTACTGATAACAGGAATAAAAACAGGCGTTCTGGGTCTGTGGGTAACAAATATTTAAGAAGGAGTTAGGGTTTTAATACCCAAACCAAAGGTATGGCGTTCACTAATATGTACAATTGCAATTTTCGATTTTGAAAAGAAGTACATAATCATTGGCTATGAAAAAACGACACTAGTGTAAATAAGGAATATTTAAAAGTGTCTTCATTATTACAAACGATAAAATAATGTCAGGGTTTGAGTATAGTACATGGACAATAGAATAAATAGAAGCACATTTTCATATGAGACTATGAGACATTTATAATAAGTGTAGATCATTTATGTGTTGGTTACCTTACGACATGAATATCCGGTCATTTTCCTTAATTGGGCAATTAGGAAAGAGAAATTTTGACCAGCAGGTATACTAATAATATACCTGTATAATATGTGGTTTATTTAAAATTGTGTACTTTCTGTAAGAACTTTGGTTAATTACCTTTTGTTTATCAAGCACAATACCTAATATTGGTGGTTGTAAAAGGTTTATTATTGCAGATGCTATAGACTACAGAGACGATCCCTATTTCCCTGTGTACATACATTAGTGCTTATTACTGTAATAACTGTAATTAGGTACGACTGTTTTGTCCTTTATTTGCTAATAGTAGACCTATAGCCAAATCGGTCTACGTACATTTTGTATTGCAGTTTAATAGATTGATTGTAACCTGTTGATTATTAAAATATCTGTATCAACATGCGATAATGTCACATTAGAAGTAGGCAAAAAAACGTTGTGGTGCTAAGGCGAATCCCTTTTTTTTGGTTTATTTATTCCTTTAGTACAATCTCCGTTTTCTGTATTGTACATATAGGTAGTTTAGAATGTCATGAACCTTAAAATGTGCGAGAGGTGGACCTTATTGTATATTGTACATTACGAAAACATTGACTCTGCTGTTAGTCATGCTCCCCGCTGTATAACCAGGGATCGAGTGTAAATAATGTTGGTAAATGTATTTCTAAATTTGCTCTACCTTTGTATACTTAATATGTTTTTGGTTTTAGTTATTTTTCATTCCTTTATTGAGGATTATTTCGTTTACGTTTTGAGAATACTATTTGTTTACACGCAATAATTTATCGAAATTGTAGGATAAGGCAAAGTACCCTAGATAGTGTGCCAGTTAGTATCGAAATGTTTTGCTTGAAATTAGAAGATTAGTTTTTTATAACAGTGTGTAGTATCTACAGAAAATTCAAACTTCAATTCCTCGCCTTACCGCCATAAGGGGAGTGAAGACGGCAAGATGCCTCACCACCCTGCCTTACTCTCTTCTCGTGATTCTTCGATATCTTCTCCCAATTTTTCTAATTGATTTTCCGTGATTATTATTGATTCCGTAATTTAAAACAATTTTAGATAGGTGTGATTTGTTAAGTTTCATTAAGCATTCAACAGGTCGTGTTATCACTTACGTAATTTGACGCTAACGGAAAATATGAGGAAAATAACATCGCTCATGGAAGAAATTTTTATGGCATTTTTGTCAATTTATCTTTAATATATTGTTCAAATAATTGCTATAATCCGTAACTTTTGAATGCGTAACTTGATGCGTGTTTCGTAATTTTTTATTGACTTACATACACTTATGCAATTGTCCTTGTAAAAACTGAATTACGATAACTTTATTATCTCATACTCAACAGAAATAGCAACAATGTACTCAACTATACCCAACATCAGCTGCCTTCCACAATCCGTCGCTGTTGTGTTCGTACCGCATAAATTCCAGTGGTGTGTGACGCTGCCCCGACCGCTGAGGTGTGATAAAACCGATATTGTTTGACCTTTTTCGGTTTATATTTCATTTAAGTTAGGAATTTCAATTTTTCTGACATTATGTCCGAACCTCAGTGTAAAAGAAGCAAGATGCCGAACTCCCTGGAACAGCTGAAGGAGCTTACGACTGTGGTCGCTGACACAGGCGATTTCGAAGGTACTGAGCTCTTATTTTAAATTTATTTGTCGTTATATTAAATAATCGTATCTAAGTATTTAATTTACTTGAATGGAATCGAATTTTTCATTTAATAATAATGCTTTTTGTAAAGTTGGAATTTAGAAAGTTGATTAAAAAGCCGATCTTTTCCATTCCTCAAGGTGACTCTAACTCTGTTTATCACGTACATTCGTGCATGTATATAAGTACAAGTTTATTACATGTGCGTGTATGTACAATCGTTAGCGCTTGGGGCGCTTGGTAACTCATTTATTAATTGATTAAAATAACTGTCAATTTTTAAGGGTTTTTAATGAATTATTCAATAAATAATAATGTCATGGAAACCTTAAGTTGTACTTATGTCGTTGTACTGTAACTTTTCATTTCATTAGTAAACGGAAAATTTGCATATACATATATAGGGTGAATGGTGAAATTTCTATATTGGGTGTTTATCTACAAAAGAAAAATTGATTATTGTTTAGATATGATGTTCTTCTTACTTTTTAGACAAAAAAAAAACGGTGACTTCTAATTGACTATATAAAGTTAAAAGTAATTTTTGTTCAAGTCGCGACTACTTTTTGCTTGTTCTAACACAATCGTTTTGTCCTAAAAGTATTCATAGGAGGCATTTCTTGATGGTTGCTATTGTTTTGCTCTGAATTGCGTAAATGGAATGGAAACTGATAAAGAACGTGTGGCGTTTCTGCTTAGTCAAAGTTTAATGTTGGTTACTGCTTTAAGTCCTCATATCGGTTATGACAAAGCAGCTCAAATTGCTCTAAGGGCTCACCGTGAGAAAACAACTTTAAAGGAATCCGCAAAAGCTTCCGGAATTGCCGAGTCGGATNTTAAATTACAGCTATGAAACAGTACAAACCAACTGATGCCACGACGAATCCTTCCTTAATTTTACAAGCGGCCACTTTACCTCAGTATAAACAACTGGTAGAAAAAGCTGTGAAGTATGGATATAAAACCGGAAGTAACGCGGAAGACAGACTGGAAGCTGCAATGGATAAGCTGTTTGTTTTATTTGGGGTTGAAATTTTGAAGATTATCCCGGGACGTGTTTCTACTGAAGTCGACGCGAGGTAATAAAAAAATGATAACGTAATTCATACTTCAATAAATGAAATTGTTATTCAAAAGGTTGTCTTTTGACAAAGAAGCCAGCATTACAAAGGCGAAAAGAATTATTGAGCTTTATGAAGAAGAGGGCATTAAAAAAGACCGGATTTTAATTAAACTTGCTTCAACGTGGGAAGGCATTCAAGCCGCTAAGTGCGTTTTTATTTTTTTCTTAAGGTTTTTTTTTCACATTTATTTTCTGTTGTAGAGAATTGGAGCAAAAACATGGAATTCATTGTAATTTGACGTTACTTTTTTCATTTGCACAGGCTGTTGCATGTGCAGAAGCTGGTGTTACCCTTATTTCTCCGTTTGTGGGACGAATTTTGGACTGGCATGTTGCAAATACAGACAAAAAATCTTTTTCAGGGGAAGAAGATCCTGGTGTAATATCAGTAAAAAAAATTTACAACTATTATAAGAAATTTGGATATAAAACAATCGTAATGGGCGCATCATTTCGTAACGTAGGTAAGTAATGTATTCATTTTATGGTTAATATGTTGTACTTTTTTACGATAAATATTTAAAATTTCAGAGGAAATAAAGGCTCTTGCTGGTTGTGATTATCTTACAATAAGCCCGAAGTTACTGGGAGAGCTCGAAGGTAGCAATGACGTTCTTAAAAAGCAGCTTAGTGAAGAAAATGCGAAAAGGGCGCAAATTGAAAAAATTACTTTAAATGAAGCTGCTTTCAGATGGATGCACAATGAAGACGTTATGGCTACTGATAAGTTAGCCGATGGTATCAGAAAATTTGCCGCTGATGCAATAAAATTAGAAAACTCTATCAAGGAACTTTTAAAACAAGCTTCTAAAAAGTAATATCGTCTGATTTTTGCGATATTTTTTGGTATCATTTATTTGGGGTGATTGATTGTGTGAGAAAAATAAAGTGCATTTGTTAAGTTATTTTTATTTTCTAAAATGAATTGGATATTACTAGAGGGCTCGATGATTTTATTCAAAACGTTTTTATATTTTTAGTCATGGGGACAGTGTTATGACAAACTTTTTCTGCATTTTTAAGTTTCCTACGATGCGCGCGCTTCAGTGACGCATACGTGGGCAGTGTGACAATCATCCTGCACTCTTTGTAATGAACGTAGAATTTCGAGACCTTTCATTTTCATTTGATAAATGTATCTGTGACACTACTTCCGAATTTCTATTATATACATATTCAAATTGCTGCTATATTGAAACTAATAATTCTTTACATATAGTTAAAGAGTATTTTGATCAACTTTAAACAATATGTTTTTATTTTTCACTTTAAATTCTAGAAAGATTTCGAACTTTGAAATTAATTATTTGCGGTATTATAGAAAAATGCATATACTTTTAATACGAAATAGAATGTGATTTAGAATAATTATATGAGAATGCGTTTCTAGTTATTTGAGAAAACCATGTATTAAAATGCAATTTCTTATCACATGTATATTGACATTAATGTGGTATAATTTAAATAAATATGGGTCGTATATTGAATCGTGCATATATCGTTATTTTCTTTAACAAAACCACTGCAGTAGTTACTGAAAAAGCCTTATAAATTAAACAAATGTGAAAAGACTTAATTAGTATACTGAACTGTTAATAAGTCTAGTGGGACGCACCTTATCTGCATAGCAAATATTGGTGTTATCCTGTATCTGTGGTTATTTTCACAATTCCAGTCTATTATCTATGATTCCAGTTTGGTAAAATTAATTAATTGTTATTATCCAAACAAATAGGTTATATTTTACAAATTTTGTGTTCCTTTAACTTTATAATTAGTGTATTTTGTACTAAACGTTGTTTTGGTTGATAAGCAGGCAGTAATTATCATGTTTTTTGTGAAGTAACAAGCCATTTTAAAATGTACATAAAGCGTATGTTTCTCAAAAATATTGCATAAAAATAAGCTTTGATGTAATTTCTTTTTAAAAGTTATTATGCATTTTTTGAAAGTAAAGAACGTCTTATGGGTTTCTTTGTATTCGTGGATGTAGAGAAGTAACTAGTATTTTTAACAAATTTGTATTTGTCTTAATTCAATTAACTTTATGTTAGTGCAGAAAAAAATTAAGATGAACCTGAGCCATAAAGAATCAAATTTAGAACGTGTAGAAGACAACCAAGTAAAACTGAAAACAACGATTGAAAAGAAAGATCAAGCAAGAAAACATGCAGAAGACTCGGCACTTGAAATATCAGACAACATTATCATTCATTATATGCTAAATTTCAAAGATCTATGTCTGGTGACCCTAGCATGTCCATTAATTACTATTTTGACTTGTTTAATTACTGGTTTTATTTTTCAATGGGATGATATACATGAAACTCATTGTCGGGTAAAAATGTTGTGTAGAAAATAGTTGGAATATTGTTACTAAGTTTTTTATTTCAGGTTTACAATATTATACCTTCTATAAGTGCAATAACAGGCATCAGTCCCCAAAAATATTTGTGGAGAGTTAGTATAGCAGTTCATCTTGGACCAAGACTGCTGGTAGCAGCTGTAACCAGATCATACAATGACAATTTGATTGCAAAAGCAAGTGCAAGGGTAAGCACATTGATTGTTTTTTAATATAGTCTTTATTTTAAATTGAATCGGTAATGTTTTGACTAAAGGCTGTAAATTAAATTAAGTAAATGAATAAAATTTGTAAACTTTTTACAAAGTTTTACTTAAACAACAGTTGTTTTGCCACATTAGTTTTATCAAGTTACTTGAGTATTACACTGCAATTTTATAATTATACTTGTAAGTAATGTGTAATTGATTATTTTTAATTTAATTTTAATAAATAAATTGTAGAATCAAGAAGAAGCAAAAAAATGGATTGATTTTACGTTTTGGCTGCAGCTCCTTGAAATAGCATGTTTAACTGGAGTGACTTACATTTCAAATAGGGAAAACTATCGTGAGTTTTGTAATTAATTATAGAATTATATTATTACAGTTGGCAGTGGCTTGTGTGAACTAAAGAGACAACATGTTCACATTAGCGAATCTTATATTTTTATAAATAGTTGTTATAATTAACAAAAGAAACATACATGCAATTATAATGCAGTAGCAACAAAATAGTATATTTTGCCGAAGAAATGAAAAATCTTTGTTATCTTCTCAGGATTTTTATCTCATTGTTAGCCCTCTTATAACTATCCATTGGGTTATTGTAATGAAAGTATACTCAACAACTCAATGACATGTACCTATCAAAAGTGAATACGCCAATAAAGCAACATCTCTCTGGTTAATATGACTGGGGAAGTACCAAATATATGTGGTATTTACAGCAGTAGCACAAGAGCAATGGTGAAATATCTATTTTTAAGGTCAATTTATATTCATTTATAGAAGCGAAAGTTTTATTTGTTCACGGTATAAGGATTTCCGTTATGCGATGTTCATACTGTTGAGGGCCTACTGTACTATTTATCGTTCAATTTATGAAGTGTATAATGTAATTCTGATTTATTTTATTGTAGCTGCTCATGAGAAACTCTTTATAACGTTTATGGTAAGCAGTATTTTACACATGTGGTCGTCCATAAAGTCTACCATGAAGATTGCCCATATTGTTGGGAATCATGAAGTGATTATTGAAAAAGTGAGGATTAAAAAGAAGCTGTTGAGTGTATCGATTGCAAGTATTATTGGAATAATCGGTTTCTTCCTGCAACATAGATTTCTTTGTCACAACTTGGGTAAGTATAAAATTTTAACAAAAAGAATGAATGGGTTCAACATTTTGAAAGGTAGAATATTTTGGTTAAACATTTCTTCCAGCTTTCAGTTGGTTCGCATTATGCGAATATATTTTTGCCACAACAAATATCATCTTCCATTTTATTACAATGATGGACTTCCCCAATGAGTTTTTAGTGATAGGAAAGGGCTTCTCAAAGTCTTCCTTGCACAATCCTAAGGTAGCCTAATAGTCAAAATTTTAACAACAATTCGAGCTAGTCATTTTATTTTAATTTATGAACGTTATGAATACTCTAAAAGATTGAATTTAGACTGCACTTTCGTAGATATCCAATACACCTTTTTGCCAACTTTTAAAATAATATATACATGCATATATTGATTGTATTGTGTATTTTACAAATTTGTTTTTTGTGAACTGTAATCTACCTAATTAACTGTTACTATTAAACCATTTAAAATGAAAAGAAACCGCGTTTATTGAATATTTTTTAGTTTGCAATCCATTTTTAGTTTTTCACCATAATTTCAAATAATCTGAATACAAAAATTATTCCAAATAGTTAATGTGATCAATAAATACTATAAAAAAATATTATTTCCTTTTCCGTTCAATTAATTTAAGTTATATCTAGTTCATTTATCGAAGTTATAAAATTAAAATTGCTGCCTTAGAATAACTAACTTTACCTAACAGAGAGCGATAATTGTTTTCGAAGCAGTAACTGTAATGATTTGACTATTGGATGGTAGGTGTCGCGAGAGTGCAGAAATTTAGTCTTTATTGTTTTGATCTGAGAGGAAAGAGGAGGCACAAAACTGGATTTGTAAGCGTTCACCATGCGCGTTCTCAGGTGCGCCGTAGTAGTTGCGTTGTCTAGATTCTTTGTACCATTCCTAGCATACCAATAACATAAACTGTTCGTGTTAACGGTCTAAATTTCGCTTTAATTATCGTCAAAGTGTGTGGTAAGGTGTAGATCTGCAACAGTGGTAAGTACTTGATGATTTTATATCAGTTTTCATACAGTTTATACGTTGTTTTGGGCATAAAGTCCGTTATAACTTGGGCAATGTGTCCATAATTCCTATAATACTTTACATACTTGTCATGCTTGCTGTTACGAAGTTCCGACGAGTGGCGACGGCGCGAATCGGTGCACGTTAAATTTTCAAACAAAAACAATAACATAAGAGATTGGTTTCCACGATATTTTTTTGGCTCGAGTTTTTCAAGGTATCGATCAAGCTCTATGAAGTGATTCGTAATTAACCGGACATCGAAATGGACTGCAGTAAAGCGGAAAGTTCGTACCTGATTCGACGGCACGGTGTCTTTAGTGTGTGCGTGTATCTGCTGCAGTACAGTTTGTTATTCGTATTTTGTTTTGGGTGCAAATTATTCGCTAAAAAAAGCTTGTGGTTTGTGTTGTTATTGTTCGTTACCGTCGGATTAATTTCAACTACATAATAGAAATATTGGCTATTGTTGAAAAACGACCGATACAATCAAACATGACATGTATGTTATAGGTATGTTTTATAATGGTAATTGTTAATTTGTAATTTTTACTTTACACACAAAAATATCTATAAAACTGCTACTTCTAAATTTTAAATTTATTCCAACATCTGATACCCTAATTAATGTACCTGGAATAACATAACGATTTCCACGAGAATTATCGATACAGTTTTTGCTAATGTGGGATTAATTTGGTTACGCATTGTTTAGAAAAGGTTATCTGCTCATTTAAATAGAAATTTACTTAAGATTTATTTATGATATTTATTTAAAATAATGATCCCAATTATTTGTCGGTATCAATGGGTTATAAAACAAGTACCTACTAAAAGGCTTTCGTTTTTTAATAAGTTGCTACCTACATGGGTATTACCTACTTTTCTAGTTTGAATTTGTGAGTTAGGTATATAAGGTGGAGAATAATGTCAGATTTGTTTATAAATTGTATTAGCTTTTAGTTTTACATTTTATCTACTGTATTCAGAAAGGGCCGGATTAACTTAGTTTGGGGCCCTTTCGCCTCTCCCACAAGAAATAGATCACACAAAAAAAAAAATATATTTACAGATCTTTAAAAAAGCAGGCCCTTCACATTTGTTCCGATCCGACCCTGTCTTTAGATCCGTAACAGTAATTGTATCTCAAGGTGGACATATCGGTTTACAATTTAATCTTTGACCCTTATCTACTGATAACAGGAATAAAAACAGGCGTTCTGGGTCTGTGGGTAACAAATATTTAAGAAGGAGTTAGGGTTTTAATACCCAAACCAAAGGTATGGCGTTCACTAATATGTACAATTGCAATTTTCGATTTTGAAAAGAAGTACATAATCATTGGCTATGAAAAAACGACACTAGTGTAAATAAGGAATATTTAAAAGTGTCTTCATTATTACAAACGATAAAATAATGTCAGGGTTTGAGTATAGTACATGGACAATAGAATAAATAGAAGCACATTTTCATATGAGACTATGAGACATTTATAATAAGTGTAGATCATTTATGTGTTGGTTACCTTACGACATGAATATCCGGTCATTTTCCTTAATTGGGCAATTAGGAAAGAGAAATTTTGACCAGCAGGTATACTAATAATATACCTGTATAATATGTGGTTTATTTAAAATTGTGTACTTTCTGTAAGAACTTTGGTTAATTACCTTTTGTTTATCAAGCACAATACCTAATATTGGTGGTTGTAAAAGGTTTATTATTGCAGATGCTATAGACTACAGAGACGATCCCTATTTCCCTGTGTACATACATTAGTGCTTATTACTGTAATAACTGTAATTAGGTACGACTGTTTTGTCCTTTATTTGCTAATAGTAGACCTATAGCCAAATCGGTCTACGTACATTTTGTATTGCAGTTTAATAGATTGATTGTAACCTGTTGATTATTAAAATATCTGTATCAACATGCGATAATGTCACATTAGAAGTAGGCAAAAAAACGTTGTGGTGCTAAGGCGAATCCCTTTTTTTTGGTTTATTTATTCCTTTAGTACAATCTCCGTTTTCTGTATTGTACATATAGGTAGTTTAGAATGTCATGAACCTTAAAATGTGCGAGAGGTGGACCTTATTGTATATTGTACATTACGAAAACATTGACTCTGCTGTTAGTCATGCTCCCCGCTGTATAACCAGGGATCGAGTGTAAATAATGTTGGTAAATGTATTTCTAAATTTGCTCTACCTTTGTATACTTAATATGTTTTTGGTTTTAGTTATTTTTCATTCCTTTATTGAGGATTATTTCGTTTACGTTTTGAGAATACTATTTGTTTACACGCAATAATTTATCGAAATTGTAGGATAAGGCAAAGTACCCTAGATAGTGTGCCAGTTAGTATCGAAATGTTTTGCTTGAAATTAGAAGATTAGTTTTTTATAACAGTGTGTAGTATCTACAGAAAATTCAAACTTCAATTCCTCGCCTTACCGCCATAAGGGGAGTGAAGACGGCAAGATGCCTCACCACCCTGCCTTACTCTCTTCTCGTGATTCTTCGATATCTTCTCCCAATTTTTCTAATTGATTTTCCGTGATTATTATTGATTCCGTAATTTAAACGTTTGTTAGAAAAGTGTGCAGAAAATCCAAAAACATTGAAAAAGTCCATCGTGACACTGTTCAAATGCAGAAAAGAGAGGGAGGTATCTAGTAAAATTAATGAAGGAAAATCGCGTACAGAGATAAGCATCGGAAACCTCCGTGGATTGATATTAATTTAATACTGTTTCTGAGTAGCCAGTAGACTAAAACATTCTTTATATGTATAATTTCTAATGCTCTTTTTGATGTGAAAATTTTAAAAAAGTCGTTGGTCAATTGACGTGTTCCTTATCCCATAAAAACGAATTCAATCTACGAATAGACGTCCCATTAAGACGTAACAAATCGTTGAATAAGAAGAGATTGCAAACGCGGTCCCCGTTTGTTTCTACATCCGTCCCGTCCGTTCGTCCGTCCGCCTGCCTTGATTGCACTCGTCCCGTAAATCGTCGAGTCGAGTCGTCCAGTTAATTGTAACTATCGAAAAGCGCGACGTTACGCGATAGGCGACAACAATATTTCACTAGCGAAGAAGAGAAGAGCGCGAGCAAGCTTTACCGAGTCCAAAGCAGGCAGCTATTCCTGCGTAAAATTCGTGCGCTTTGACAATTCGTCGTAGGTATTTTACTGAGAAGAATGTCTTCAGCATTGCATAGCGTACGATCCTGAACGCCTAAGATTCCTTTCCCCGTCCGTTTTAATCTTCTTCTACTTCTTCTTCATCGTCTATTTGGCTTCTCGTCGGTTTCTTTTTGTTTTTTTTTTTGTTGTTTTTCTTTTACATCGGCTTCTCTTTGCTTTCGGTTGTGTTGTCGGTATGCTCTTCTTTTCTTCGTCTTGTTGTAGCCGGCGCGACGTCGAAGCCGGATGATGGTGAGCGCACTCAAAATAATAAAACACAATTCTCGTGGACTTTAGCTCAATAAATCTTACCTAAATATAGTTCTCGTCGCGTGAAAAATGACGAAAAATAACAGTCTTTCTCCTCCAGCTTCTACGACAATCACCACCACCCCACTCTTCCTTTTCGTTCGCGAGATCGAGTTATATAAATTGCTTAAGGATATATGCACGTATTTAAACTTCATTATTTGCTGTATCAAATCCTTAAATAGTGTCGTAGATATGTTTAATTTTGATGATGGCTTGCTCCCTTAAGGACTCTTGTGTTTTTCTTTCAAAGATTCGATTGAGGAGATGTAGTTCTTTAATTTATTAACAATTGTCACATGGTCCTTCGAGCCGGATTAATAATGAAATTTATTTACAACATATTAAATTATTCTTTTATTTTACCCTCAAGTACAATTGAGTTGCATTGTTCTTGTGAATAATCTCGCTCACGAAATCCGGGTCTAGAAATGCTTAAGGATAGTGCATTTGGACTTTATTTTCGCTCTTTACACTTTTAAATCTTTCAGTAACACCCAAATACTATCTTTTAATTTATAGGCGATTTGCGTTCATTCTCATAGGTGCAGTTGAGGAGGGGACCAAGTTGTTTAATTTATCCGCATACACATGGTCGTTCGAGCCGGATATGCAAGTAAATTTTTTTTTTTTTAAATTAAATTGCGTCTTCTAAATAATTTCATTTGATGTTGGTTGTTACCAACTTACTAATTATCGTTATTGTTATAATGATGTATAAGTGGGCCTGTTCTCACAGCAGTTACAAAACAGAAACAATTGGCAAGTTACACCGGTTACTAAGAATCATTTGTTTTGATTTGTATGCCTTGCCCAACATGCAAAATTTGTGTGAGTCGATAAAGATCAAACGTATGACATTTACCGGTTCGGGTAGGTGCGTTACCTAAATTAAACGTTGCTATTTGTTTTAAGGGGCGTTACGGGATTCTTATTG